TTTTTTTCACCAGTTGTTTTTTTATCCTCAATTGCTTCTAAATGGAAGAAGGAACCAAAAACCCCTGCAAGCAAAAGAAGGCTAAAACGGAGAAGCAGTAGAGCTACTGAAATGTTTACATTAAATACTATTTTGGCTCGAATACCGATTTCTTTGTCAGGTGGAGGGCCACTGTCTGTACTGCCACCTGGTCCTCTCTCTTTACACGTTGGTGGTTTCCAGCCTCGCTGACAATGACAATGTTTCAAGTTGTTGCATACCCCTCTGTAATTACATTTCTTGACATCACAGTCAAAATGGAAGTCTTGGAAAAAAGTACAGTTTTGGTTCATACAGTATCTTCCTGCACCACATGTTGCCCCATCCACCACAAGCCCCATATATGGTGTGTGTGTCCCAAAGTGTGCATCGTACCCAAAGCATCTTTCTACTTTAACATCTTTTACTACTATATGACGAAATGTAGTGTGCTCACCCCCGCCAGGAATTTCCTCCACATTACTACAGTGCAGCATTCCACACAGCACATCATCTTCTTCACATGGTACAGAGTTTCCTCCTGCTCGAGTCACTCGCACCCCACAATTTCCAAATCGGTCACCTCTTACATTCAATTTTTCATAGCATGCTGACCCAGCATCTTTTATTTCGAAGCCAAAGAGGGATTGACACTGCAGATCACGGTCACTACAGTTTCCTTTCACACACACGGCTAACGGTGAACACGGGGTTCCATCCTGGATATAAGCGTCTGTTGGACAAACGTGCGTCTTCCCACTGCAGTATTCTGGTAGATCACAAATACCAAGAGTGTCTCTGCAAACACTTCCAGGTTGAGCATAATTACACCTCCTGCAGCAATCTCCTTCACTGCAGACACTACCAAGGGTGAGGACACAATTGGAATTGCAACACTTATCCTGAGAGCAGTCTTTTATGGTGCCACAGTCACATTCTTCCCTTTGATCTTTGATCTTGTCACCACAGCGAGCAGCTTTATAAGGAAAATTATTGTATGGTGTATTTGGAGCACTCAGACAAGGATCCCACATAGAAACTCGTCTGTGCAGTTGGGCATAAGTACAGTTGCTCATCATATCTAGAAGACCAGGCTCAGCAGCCATGACACAGTAGTGTCTTCGAAAACAATGGCAACCAGGACCATCATGTCTACAGCCAAGAACATGACCTATTGCATGTGCTCCAAGAGTTGCAGCTAAAAATATGTGATACCTTGCTACCCATACAAACGATGCTCCCCAATTGGGGTTGCATATTCCTTCATGATTGCTATAATATGAAGCTCCACCGATTTTTTTTCCTGTAAGAATCAATGAAGTATCATGAGGAAATTGTGTATACCATCTCCAGTATTTCCATAAACCAAATGAATTTAATGCATCTAGAGCATTTTGAGATTCTTCTACTTTCACCTCGTCGTTACCGTCCCATATGCACAGCATACGTATGAAAACCTGAAGTTCACCCTGGTAGTAAATGCTATGCATTATGTTGTTAAGAATCACTACGTTCTCTATTATACGTGTGATATTTCTGTTCTGAACCACTAATGAGTTAGTAACTGTGTAGTGAAGTTTTAAGTTTTTCCTGTGTGGCCACCACAAATATACAGGGGCAGCTCTAGGAGTTTCAGCAAGCATTGCCTCCTCATATGCTTGATTTGTTTCTTCCTCTTTAATCTTACACTTTTCATCCTCTCCTGGTGTTTTTTGTGACACAAGCAGAGAAATCACATGCTCAAATTTGGAAGAAGCCTCCAGTGGTTTGATTTCGTAAGTGAAGTCATCCACCTGCAGCATGCCACGCAGACCTCCATAGCAGGTGTCCAGCGTGCCCATGGACCCAGGAACCCCTTCCAGGTAGGTGTAGTAGTAACAGTCTCGGGGGATAAAAGGGTAGTCCTCCTGCGTGGCGCCTTGGTCGTTACTGGTGATAACGGGAAAGTGTCTGGGCAGCAAGTTCTTCTTGACTCTCATGTGAACCACATGTCTTTGGCCACTGAGGCGAATCTTGTAGGAAAGCTGGCCTTGCATCCCAGTTCCTCCCGCTCTGTGGGACACCTTCCTGGGGATCACAACTTCAGAGGAAGTGAAGCGCCATCCTGGTGGGGCGTGGGAGCAGCAGATTGGCAACAGTAGCAGCCAGAGCAGAGGCAGCCGGAGATCACCTGTCAGGTGGGCCTGGGCCCAGGCAGGCCCCATGAGTGAGGAGCCTGTGACCAAAGCAAACGCAGTCAAGTGGGAGGCAGGCAAGCCTATCCCTGGAACAGCATCTCTTAAACAGCAGTATAGTCCTGAGGAGAGTGGAGAGAGGCTGAAGGCTTGGCATCCCCAGACAGGTGTGGGGGGCTGCGGGGGGGATGCTGTTACATAACAATGGTGTACTCATGAGGGGGAGGGGCGCTGTGCTAAGTGGATCCTGGGGATCCTGGCACAGGGGTCTTAGAGAAGACAAAATATGGGAGAAATTAGGAATAATAAGAGGGTATACCTGGGCTGAGAGGTCCCGTGGTCTCTTGCAGAAGTCACAGGGGAAGAATAAGCGGGTCTGATGCAATTTTAAGATAGTTACTGACTTTTTTTCCCTTCAAACCAAAATGAGATAAGGCATCAATTTGTAATTAAAATACAGAATGGAGAGGAGAGTGGAAGTTTCTCCTTGTAAGGATTTTGAGGTGAGAATTAGATTCTCTCATAC